AAAATTTTGATGTTTGGCAACAGATTTGTATTTATGATGGTTTCAGTGTCCTGGGGTCATGTTTGACAAAATATAAAATTTTTAATCAAGCCCCCTCCCCCCGGTCAATGGTGTCCCTCTTTACTAATCTAAAAATCTGGTCACCTTATGCAGGAGGCCTTTGGGACCCAAAATGAGGTGCAAGCATATTTTCAGCGCGCAAAGACAAAAAGGCTAGCCATCACTGCCTTAATCATTACTCTAAACCGGGTCTCAACATTTCAGCCTCCCTGCCTGAACTTTAAGAACTTTAATGGCCTTAAAAATATACCAGCAAGCGATAGACAAGGTGAAAAAAAGATAAATGTTTTGGCCTAGATAGAAGCTTCAGTGTGGAAGCATTGAAGTTAAAGCTTCAGCTGGGCAAACTCTGGGTCTGTTTTTATCGGCAGTGAGCTCTGAATGACGACGATGATGATGATGATAATGATAAACTGAGTTGCAAGCATTACATTTACAAGCTTAAAGGAGCCTTTTCTCGGAAGCACAGGCAATATTGTTCGGGCAGCCTAAACTGTAGTCCAGCAACAGCAACAAGGCACCAGTGGGATGCGAAAGGCATCTGGAGAATGCTAAAGTCTGCAGTAAAAGAATAGTGGGAGAAAGAGGAGGAGGAGGAGGAGGAGGGTTTTAATTTAACAGATTTTATTTACTTTTCCCCTTCACCTTTGGACCATGAAACAAGTCAGTGAAACTCTGGGTGCTTATTACTTGGAAGAGGCATTGTGCACCCAGATTCTCCCACACCCACTCGCCTCAGCTGGGCAAATTCCAGTCAGGAGTAGCCTCTCCCTCATGACTGAAATTCTGTGCATATTTAAGTACCTCCCAAAGTCAGTGTGGTGTAGTTGATAAAAATGGTTGAGCTGGGACTGGAGAGAGCAAAGTCAATGGTTGCTGGAGCTCACAAGGTGACTTCAAGGGGGGGGGGGCGGTCTCTCTCAACTCATCTAAGGGCAGTTGTAGGAGCAAAACTGGAAGAAGGCATACAATGCACTATAGTTGGACCAAGCAGTGTAATCAGTGGTGGGAGAAAGATGACTAATAATGTGGATCTTCTTCCCCTTCTCCCTAGGGAACACAGAGTTCAGCTGCATACCTGGGTTGTTGAAAGCCATCCCCACTGTACTCAGTGTGATTTATTCTGTGTGCATTCCAAAGTGAATGCAGATGTGAAATCCTAACCAGATTGGCTTGGGCAGTAAAAAAAAATCTAAGAGCTCTGTGCAATTTAATTATGGGAAAGCAGTTGTCAACAGCAGAAAAAGCAGAAGTGAATCTGGGAATAAAAAGTTGAATGAGGATGACAAGAGATTTACTAAGACATTGTAATTAAAATCAGAACTGTACATTTCAACTATGGACAATTTTGTTGGGATAGATCTGGTAATTATCATGAACCATGCACCATCTCAGAAATGGACTAATGAAAAATCCATGCTTTAGATTAGAAGGCCATCTATAATGGCTAGGCCCCTGATGGTAAACCTATGGCACACATGTCACAGGTGGCACATGAAGACATATTTGTTGGCATGCCAGCCATCAGGGCCAGGGGAGGCTGTTTTCACCCTCCCCCTGCTTCAAGGAAGCCTTCGGAGGCTGGGGAGGGCGAAAAACAGGTCCAACCGGAAGTTTGTTCCCGAACTTCCAGGTGGCTCATTGGGGTCGTTTTTCATCCTCCCCAGGCTTCAGGAAAGTATCTGGTGCCTGGGGAGGGATCGTGTGCTCATGCGTGTGGGGGTCACATGCGCAGGTGGGGGGGAGGATTGAGTTGGTGTGGGCACATATGTGTGCATGATAGTATGTGCGACAGTGTGCGCATACACAATTTTGGCACGCCATAAGAAAAAGGCTCGCCATCCCTGGACTGGGCAATTGAACTCAGTGGCTGGATTTACCCATTCCACTAACCTATAAAAGGGTTTGCTTCATTTTGGCTCAACATGTTGTATGAGCTTATCATGAGTTTTAAAATAAAGTCTTAAAGTAAAAAGCATTGCAGCCTAAATTTAAGAATATTTTAAGCCAGCTAAAGCCCTGATTTTTAGTCTAACACCAATGTCATATACTTCGGAACAAGTATGCTTAGGATTAGGGTGCCTGACTTAAACTCCTGGATCAGAGAATATAAATCAGATTGACTAAAGTGAAATAGGGAAGACCTTTTTGCCTTTAAAAAAAATTCCTTTGCTATAAATCAAAAACCACGTTTGTTGTTGTTCACAAAGGGATGCATGAGAGGGTATGTGTTTCATTACGAGCACGATAGGCTGTTCTCAGAAAAACTTACAAGAATCAAATCAGACTACCACTTGGATGTAAAACTATCCAGGAGTAGCTTAGAAAGTCAAAACAGTACATGAAAGTGCTCGCAAACTACATGAGCACATCCACCACTACTGGATATGTTCATGAATCAAGTTTCACTTGAAGACTTCACATTTGTGGAATTTTTGTCTGCACCTAACATAGATCCACCAAGTGAATTCTTGGTAAAGCTTATGCAGAGTTAGGCCATTGCTTCAGATTCTTACTGCAACACTGGAAGTCTTTAAGATGTTGGATAGCCATTTGTCTGAAAAGGTATAGGGTTTCCTGCCTAGGCACGGGGTTGGACTAGAAGACCTCCAAGGTCCCTTCCAACTCTGCTATTGTATTGTATTAATTTATTATATAGATAAGTAAAGGTAAAGGTTCCCCTCGCACATACGTATGTGCTAGTCATTCCCAACTCTAGGAGGTGGTGCTCGTCTTCATTTCAAAGCCAAAAAGCCAGTGCTGTGCAAAGATGTCTCCGTGGTCATGTGGCCGGCATGCCTAAACGCTGAAGGTGCACGGAATACCCACCAAAGATGGTCCCTATTTTTCTACTTGCATTTTTACATGCTTTCAAACTGCTAGGTTGGCAGAAGCTGGGACAAGTAATGGGAGCTCACTCCGTTACACGGCGCTAGGGATTCGAACCGCCGAACTGCTGACCTTTCTGATCGACACACTCAGCGTCTTAGCCACTGAGCCACCACACCCCTCTCGTATAACTAGAATCCAATCTAATTTGCAGTTCCTTGCCATATGTCTCTTCATTCTTCCTATGAGATCCCTGATTGCTAAGGAAGGTCACAGTAAGAGGACCTAGCCTCTCAATTGATTTGAATAGGTACTTTCAACAGTCTTCAATTATCCACACAACAGATGAAACAAATACTTACATTTTATTCAAATTTTAAATGAATGGTTAATGGGTGATTATGATATCATTGATGTCAATAAAACTAATCAACAGGAGGGTAGGAAGGTTTGAATTTATACATTAATGCAGTATTTTGGTATTTCTGCTTGGCAAAAAAATGCTTGAAGAGTTACCAGAGATCTGGGCTACCTCTAGAAGGAAAGAACTATTTCAGAGTTTTCTGTTTGCTATTTGCTGGTTACCCAAAACATTATAGCCCTTTAAGATAAAACTCTTGGGGAAAAAATGTTTGGTGATTCTCTGAAGATACTGTCTTCATTGGTCTTATATAGGTAGTCTACACTTGGGATTCAATTTTCTGTTGCTAAGCAAGGCAGTTGTTAAGCGAATCACATGCAATTTTACAACTTTTTTTGCCAGAGTTAACTGAATCCCTGCAGTTATTAGATGAACCATACAGTTGTTAATGTAATATAACTTCTTCACTGGCTCTGCCTCTCAGAAGCCATCTGGGAAGGTCACAAATGGTGATCACATGACCCTGGGATGCTGCAACTGATGTAAGAACAGGTCATTGCCAAACACCTGAATTCTGGTCACAAAACCATGGGGATGCCAGTAGCACATAGACATATACCGCTTCACAGTGCTTTTATAGCCCTCTTACAGAGTCAGCATGTTGCCCCCAACAATCTGGGTCCTCATTTTACCCACCTCGGAAGGATGGAAGGTTGAGTCAACCTTGAGGCTGGTGAGATTCAATCTGCCAAATTGCAGGCAGCCGGCGATCAGCAGAAGTAGCCTGCAGTACTGCACTCTAACCACTGCGCCACTGCGGCTCAATTAGTTGTTAAGGACTGGTCATATGTAACTTTTTTCAGGGCTGTTGTAACTTATAATGGTCACTAAATAAATGACTGTAAATTGAAGGCTACTTGTAGTGCTCTACAACCATGAGAGGGAGGCAGTTTCTCAAGTCCCGTAGTTACATTCAGAGGCTAGTAGAATTTATCCCAAATCTAAAAAGGTATTTCATCAAAAGAAATCGTAACAGCAGAGTTTTTGTAAAAAATGCAGAAATGTATCAAGGTCTTTCTTTCAAGCAAATGAATGACTATAAGTTCTGGTTAAAGTAAGAAGCAATTTTCTTTATTTTATAGGGGATATTAGTATAAAGCTATATACAATCATCTGTAATTTATTTGCACGCTGCCCTTCAAAAACAGGCTTCCCCAGAGTAGTTCACAATAAAATAAATCAAAATGCAGATCAACCTTTTTTTTTTAACAACAATCTGTTGTACAATCAAATACTCTAGTCCACATACCTCATGTCCCCTTTTAATTCTTTGGAAAATTGATCCCTCTAATGCCTGGTGAATCAGGCAGAAAGATTTGTTATACAAAAAATGCAGAAAAGAAACTTAACAACAAAAGCAAAGGAGGGAGCTCACATTGTCTCTCCTGTTCCAATGTATGGCCACACAATCTTATTTGTCACCCAAACGGCACCCATTTATCACCCACTCAGATAATGATTAACATTACAGCTAGTTACAAGGTAGTTGTAGGTAGTTCTTAACCATGTAATCCTATTTCTTTCTAGTATTCCTTTTTTATTATTCTCAAATTAAGGCCAAAGCAGTGGATAAGGCTCATTTCAAAATATATGATCCAATTTTCAGAAAACATATAGTGCAGAAATGAAAGTGCCAGTCTATACCATCCCTTACTATTCTGTAAGAGTTTCTCCAAGGTTTTAGGCAGCAGCCTCAACCCAACAATGTTACCTGAGATTCTTTGAATTGAAGCAAGGAGTAGACCGAGTTGGAGTACATTTGGTAGATGCTTTTCTTAAAAAGAAGAAATAAAATCGACAGGTTGCAAAGCAACGGTGCCAGCTTAAAACACAGCATTTATTTGCTGCAATACCTTCAAGCCTTCAAAGGCGTAGACCAGCTCAAGTGATTTTGTGAACAGGAGATCTGCGCAGGGCAGCCCATTCCTAAAGAATCCCAAATTCCAAATGTGCGGTGGACCCAAAGGATTGGCTACTTCTGCTATACAGCCTAGATGTATTGGGTCACAATTGCACGTTAAAATTAATGATTTTAACGTGGAAACAGCTGAAACAGAACTTGTGCCTTCCCACAGGCACTAAAAAAAGGAGAGCTGAATTTCTGATGAGAGGAAAAAAAGGAGCAGATCTTGGAAAGGACAATGATGATGATGGTATTCTTTTCCCCGTAACATTACTCCTTTTCTTGATCTCGAGGTACTTAAGCTTGTACGAAGACCTGCAAAGATCATGCATTTGCCAGAGTCCAGCATTAGACACCCAGGAAAGGTGCAGGCAATATGAAACTATGCTCCGTTTTGCTAGAATCCCCCCCCCCCCCCTCTCTTAAATCTTGGCACTCTGGCTGTTGTTCTTCTGGGAAGCTGTGAATGCTGCCAGGGCAACAAATATGTGGGCTTTGCCAGGAAGAGCTCTCTTTCACAGATAAGGCTTCCATTTCTTGCCACAGTGCTGGCTGCACTTGCCTTGCATAACATATAAGGAGCATGGCTGGCTACGGATTGCTCCTGCCTAACCCACGCGGATTTAAAAAACCAGGAAATGTGAGGGGGGAGGGATACATTGTGTTGGGGACAATCAGTAAAAATAACGTCACATTTTGGAACTTTAGAAAGGAAAAGGGAAAAAAAAACTTTAGAAAGGTTTAAAAAGAAACCAAAGCCCACCGTGCTGTGCTAGATCAGCAACGCTCAACACCTCCGGGCCTTGAGCCATTTGGAATCAGGTCACAGAAGTTGCAGGTGAGCACACCTGTGTGCAAATGCATCCCCCCTTGTGTGAACAGTGGGCGAGCACGTGTGCAAAGCGGTATACAAATTTAAGTGCTACTGCTATTTGCATGAGCGGTGGGCGTGCATGCCCACCGCCTGTGCAAATGGAGCTGTGCACATGCACACTTGCCTACCACTTGTATGGAACTCTCCCCTCTCCCTACACACACACACACTGGTCTGAAAAGTCAAAAAGGTTGGGGAACTCTGATCTAGACAGACACAACCCACTAGTTGCTTACTTCCAGAAGCAGTGGAGAAGAAAGACAGTTGTGAGATAGGTGACAAGTTAAATTTGTAAGGAAAATTCAAGTCAAAAATGCATTACACAGTGTGGTGTATCTGAACACAGTTAGACAAAACCTGGCACTTGGTCTTGGATATTTCTCTGTGTTGTCTCAGCCTAACACCAAAGCATTGCTCAGAGACAGACTGCTTCTGGGCCCTAGCCTCACCCAATCAATCATCCCCACCCCCCATTGTCTCCCTTGCATCCAAATGCCATTCACCAGTTTATATGTGACCTGTCTGTGCCTCACTGGCTGGAAGAAGGGCTCCGCATCTTCCTCCCTCCTGGAAAGAAATCTGCAAACCAATCTGGTTGAGATTGTCCTGGTTGAACAGCTGTTGGGAACAGCTGGCAATAAGCTACCAACCCAATGGAAAGAAAATAGAGGACAGAAGGATCACTGAATGCCATCCAGAACCAACTCACTATAGAGAAATCCTACTGCAACCCAATGTTACAATCTTCTCATCTGGGAGCAACATGCTTCATATATATGTATATGTATAGGCTGCCAATGCATGCAGTTTCCCCTGGATTGCATCTGTTTGTTTGAATGTACGTGGTTGGGTGTACTGGAATGATGGCGAAACACCCAGCCCATTCCAAATGACATGTGCTTATAAAACATGGTTATGTGACAGAAATAAGCTTAGTTCAAACAATTTCCCCCCTTCCAGAATGTTTGGGATGGAGAGCTTGGTAATTATAAAAAGATTCACTTCTTCTGAAGAATCCCAAGATGTGCTTGTAAGAAGGGACCAAAAACTCATGGCATGCATTTATCCCCAGTTGTTTTCGGGGAAAGGAACTCAGAGGCAGCCTTGTTCATCTGAGGAGCAGATGCTAAGGCTTTCTGTCCTGTTACACCCAGCATGCTGACTTTTCTTTTTTCCCAAATGGTTTTTTCATTGCCCCATCAAAACGAACAGTCAACTTTCTAACACTTTCTTTTGTTTATGATCATAAAAATAGAGTGGTCTCTCTCTCTCTCTCTCCCTCTCCCACCTAACCCCCGTCAGCAGCATTTTCTTGATGTTCCAACCAGGACAAAAAAAGACACACTTAGATCCTGTAGCTCCTTCTTGGGGCTAAGGGAGGGAGGAAGGGAGGAGAAGCTTGGCAGGATCTTTGGGTGTGGGAAGCAGGAAAGGCCAGAGGTCAAAGGAAATCTGTCTACTTTTACTTTACTGAATATTTCTGCTGGTTTCAGTATTCATACAAACCATGGCTTTTTAGGACAATACTTTTAATTAACCTTTTGTATTTTATTTTATCCAAAGGTCTCCCATGGCCTTTGAAAGAGAGAGAGACCTTCTGTGTAGATCCCGGTCAACCTCCCCCCTCTTTTTTCAATGCAAAGAGCAGGGCTGTGAGAGTTAAGAGAGTTGCTTTGGTGTGGGCCATACCTTTCCTCTTACCAGTGAATGATAGGCCTGAGTAATACTATAAAACCCGATTGCCTTTGCATACTTTCACACATGCATTCTTAACTCTCTCCCTTCACATCCACACGTGGCAACCAACAACAGACATATACTTCTTTTATGTACAGTCTCTAAAAGGATTCTCTAAAAAGTAATGTCTTTGAAGTAGCCCCCTCTCCCTTCCCAATTTCTTTCCTTCCTTCCCTGGCATCTCCTGAGTGGCACTCCTACTCCTTGGTCTCTTTAGCGGTAGCTCATTCAGACTGTCTTAGCACCTTCTTCCTTCAGAGAAAAGTACAGCAGTTGGACCGCCTCTTCTCCGACTCAATGTAGTCGTGGATTTGGAACCTGGGCTCATCCAGCTGATTCACCGCTCGCTGCTTGAGCTCCCTGGAAATCAAAAGGGTCAAATCACTGCTCAGACATTATTTTTTTAAAAAGGAACTTCTGAAACTTTTGAAAAGAGAAATGTTTTCCTGGACTTCTAGGAGAAAATGTCATCTTTCTTAAAACACAGTAAGCGTGTTAACGTCTACCCCACCTGTGCCCAGAAAATAGATGCCACTCACAACTCCTTCCTGGTCTGCTGTGACCTCGAAAACTAGCTCCAGTGCACCATTTCTTGGATGCTTCATTTCAACACAAAGATTACGAAGGGTTCCAGAAAGAACAGAACAAATTGCATAAGTGGGCAGCAGCAAAAGGGAGGAAAAAGAAATTGGTGAGATGTTTGTGAAACATCCAAGAAAAAAAAGTGTTGGGAGAGGGATGAACTCTCAAGGAAAACCTCACAAAGGTATGTAATTTTGGTTGCCCCATTTAACACTTCTGCCAAAGGTCTGAATAATTTTCTGATTATGGATACTAGTGAGAATTCCTTACATTTTTGAAGGTTGAGTTTTATTTGGTCTCACCTCTGATAACCTTTTCTTAACAAAGTTCACAGCAACCCAATGACCAGTTACCTTGGGTTTCCTGAGCCCCTCTTTTCCAAATTCTCCTGATGTTTCAGAGCTCATTCCTACCAGTCTGGCCAGCCTTAAGTCATGGAAGGGCTTGATAAAATGAAATCAAGAAGGCTCAATGCCTTCTCCAAATGCTGTTATAATCCCAGGGATGGAAGGAAAACTATCTGCTGCTGTTACTCACTTTGCAATAGCCAGAAATGCCAGTTCCACATTCATACCAGTCTTGGCACTGGTCTCCATGAAAGGTACTCCGTATTCCTGGAATGAAAACAGAGGAAGAAAAAATGGCAACATCTTGCCAGCAAACATGAATCCTTTTTGGAATTCCTGTGCTGGAACCTTAACAAAAGCCCTGGAACTTTAAAAATACTAATCCCAAAGAGGAGGCAGGAAATCTTGCTATTTGGTTAAGCCGTTGACCAGGATACTGTCTGCTCTGCGTTAACGGGAGATGTTTGCCGATACAGTTGGCTTTTTTTTCTTAAATTAGGCAGATTGCTTGGATCACCTACCTCAGCTATGCTATGAGGCAGTCACACTTGGACTTGTTCACTTACCCTGGCTAAGGACTCCCCATCTTCTGTTCTGATAACTCGCTCACTGCTCATGTCAGCCTGCAGATAGAAAGACAGGAAGGGTGGGGAAGAGCAAAGAAGAATGCTGAAGCACACATAACCAGGATACCTTAGTAGTGCATTTCTATCTGGGGGGAGGGAGTTTAAAAATAGAGACAAAAAAACCATTTTTAAATATCCTAGGCAGAATTCCCCTAAAATGCCCATCTTAGCCTCACTCTGCTTCTTCTTCTAACTAATTTTGTTCTAAAATTCACATTTGAAAAAGAAATGCATCCGGAAGAAAAGCAACAGAATTAGGTTCCCAGAGGTTTCCTCTCAGGTAATTGTCTGTCTGTCTCTGTCTCTCTCGCTCTGAGTCCATCCCTCCTCTCTCCCCCCCCCCTCTCTCCCTCCCCCTCCCTCCTCTCTCTCATCTATCTCTCTCATCTTTCTCTTCATATTTACAACTCATCTTAAATTCATGACTCTGGGCAGCTAACAGCACTTGAAGACATCATACAACAATCTATAACAATAAAGTATGCATAAATAATTGGCAACTGAGGTAAATCACCAAAGGAGCAAAAACAAATAAATTTATCTACTGCACAGTTGATTCTATCACTGATAAATACAGTGTTGACTCCAAATGGAGTTCAGGCACAGGAATAGTGAAAGCCAACGTTCTGCCAGGATTTTAATGCTTTGTTTTATTACTGTTAAAAGTTTGAACATTATGTTTTGGTTATGTTTCAGTTGTGCCATTGTTTGGTCTGCGTTCAGTTCCGCTCCATTTGCTATTCAATTTTACTTTGTAAATTGCCTTGATTGTCAAAGAAAAAGAAAGAAAGGCTATCCATTCAATACATTCACTTCCAATTAAATAAATAAATAGTTTGGTTTTAAGCTGTTCAGAAAACTAAGCCTTTCTGTGCAGCCCTGAAGCAGTGGAGAGATTTGTAGGCCAGAGAGGAAGAAGGGGAGATAACCGCAAAGCTTTCTGCTAGCAGGAAAGGCTGAGATGAGGGACATCCACATTGGGGAGCATGAAAGATCCCCGGGTTCAATCCTGACATGTTTTTCTCCTAGATCTTTCTGTGGCAACAGTAGACACGGTTAGGGAGTTGTGCTTGTGCTAGTATGGCAAAAAAGTAAGTTATTTCCAATTTGAGCTTATCTTCTGGTGCCTTGACAGGAACACTTTCTGATATTCCAAGGCTGGTCAGTTGTTGGCCTTTCCAGCTGTGGGTGACTTTGCTTTTGAGGACTGACGAATAAGGGGGGAAGGGTATGTCATAAATTGCCCTGCTTCCAGGGCAATTCCAAAGGTATGAAGCTTCAGTCTCAGAGTGCCCCCTGCTGGCTCACCTTGGTCAGCAAAGAAGCAAGCTACAAAAACCCATCAAAGGATTTTCTGCATACCTTACCTTTAATATTATTTTACTATCATCACCACCACCAACCCAAAAATCATTTTTAATGAAATGTTGGCCCCCCATTCAAGAATATTCTCCTGTTTATTTTCTGATTTTCTTTCTTTTCTATGCTTGAGTGTATACATTCAGTTTTCATAATGAAATGATTTTGTGTCCACCATTCTGCCAAACTGGAATGGCCACTCAATATTTTTATTGTCAAAGAAATATTTCCTCAAGGCATAATCTGCCAGGGAGCACACAGTGGCCAGAATGGAGGCAAATTCCAAGCTCTGAGGCATTGTGGCTCTTAATGCAAGTCTGAAGTTCTTTCTCTTACTGATACATTTCCACCTCCCAAGCAGCAGGATTCAAAGAGATCTGGTCTGGTCTCTTGCGTAGGAATTTTGCAGTCACAGCACAAAATCCATCTTAGGTCCATGGACTGCATAATCCTACTTTACTGTATCTGCCACACAACATTGTTTCATCTAAACTATTTAATGAATTGATGGATGTTTGTCAGACCAAATTGTGAAATCATGCCCTGAAAAACAATTGTTGCATCTAGACGTGGGCTGCAAAATCTCAGATGATCACAAGGTGGTCAATAAAGAGTTGGCAGTGTTTGTGTCTCCTGATGACCTACTAGATCTCCTTGGAGTGAGGGTAGAGATTCGCCCTCCAAGCTTGTGGATTGGTTTCCCAAGGTTTGGTTACCAGGCTAGGCAACATCTTTGGCAGAATTTAGGGATGTCAGTGTCAATGTTCTTCTGCTTATAAGGGCTTCTGTGGTCAGTAGGTCTTGTGATGGGGAGATCAAGTCAGATGAGGGTCACGTTAGGAGAGGGTTTCGTGATGGGTTTTGTGATGAGTTAGGTTGGGGTCACGTCAAGTGAGAGTCTTGTGATGGTCTTGTTATGGGTCAGAAGTCTTTATAAGCAGAAGAACACCAACACTGACAACCCCTAAATTCCTCTGAAGATGTTACCTAACCTGGTAACAAAACATTCAGAAATCAACACACAACCTCAGAGAACGAATCCTATACACGAGCTAAGGGTATTCACCACTATCACACTCCATGGAGTGCCCAAATTCCAAAATGATCCCTCAGCAAACTGCCGGGCTGCTCCCCCTTCCCCTCTCTGCCCTTTGCCTTGGCACGCCATTTCCCCCTAATTTATTCTTTCCTCAGGGTGGCTCGGTGGCCAAGATGCTGAGCTTGTCGATCAGAAAGGTCGACAGTTTGGCGGTTCGAATCCCTAGCGCTGCGTAACGGAGTGAGCTCCCGTTACTTGTCCCAGCTTCTGCCAACCTAGCAGTTTGAAAGTACGTAAAAATGCAAGTAGAAAAATAGGGGCCACCTTTGGTGGGAAGGTAATAGCGTTTTGTTTGCCTTCGGCGTTTAGTCATGCTGACCACATGACCACGGAGATGTCTTCTGAAAGCACTGGCTCTTCGGCTTTGAAACTGAGATGAGCACTGCCCCCTAGAGTCAGGAACCATGTGCGAGGGGAACTTTTACCTATTCTTTCCTACTCTAGGGCTGTTTTTCCTCTTTCTTTTTTTCCTGAAGAGTTAGCAATAGCAGTTAGACTTATATACCGCTTCATAGGGCTTTCAGCCCTCTTTAAGCACTTTACAGAGTCAGCATATTGCCCCCAACAATCCGGGTCCTCATTTTAACCACCTCGGAAGGATGGAAGGCTGAGTCAACCCTGAGCTGGTGAGATTTGAACAGCCGAACTGCAGAACTGCAGTCAGCTGAAGTAGCCTGCAGTGCTGCATTTAACCACTGCGCCACCTTGGCTCTCAGTTGGGCATCCTAGTAGACCACCAGTGATGCTTGGCATGTTGATTTCATCCCCTTTGTCTTTGCTTTATTCCAGGAACCAGGTATGCTTCTTTAGCAACACCCCCTTGTCTCTTGGGACGTGGATTGGCAAATTAAAAAAAAACTTGTGATGCCAACAGCATTTGGGGGCCTGAGATATGTGAAGTCTGAGAACTGCATCTGGCAATCCAACACTTCCTCCATCACATCTGGCCACTGAGCAGCTAATGATTGGGGGGGGGGTGTTAGCAGTTTTTTTAAAAACTCCCCCCCCCCATTTTGTCTTATACAAACCATGGGTGATGTTTTTAACACCAACAGTTGCACATTGTCTTTTCAGAGCAAATGAAGTGATATGCATTGACCCTCTGACACAAGGCAGGAGTTGTGTGAAATGACCCTTGGTCTCATGGAATGAGATAATTAAGGCTTATGTCATATATCTAACTGGAGCTGTCACTTCTTTTAAAGGGAGAAAAAAGGGGAAAGGAGCCATTTGTTTGGGAGACTTCATGATTTAAAGCAAAGCAGAGTTAAAATAAAACGTCACACTCAGAAAACCGATGTGTTTTTGTGTGTGTAGGAGTGTATAAATATATTCAGCTAAGCGTCTTTCAAATAAGCCAAACCTAAGCTCTATTTCCCAGTCATGGGCATAAAGTTTTCAATTTCCTGAAAGGGAAGTAAGAGCAGAGTGTTGTTGAATAATAGGTGTCAAAAAACCGCTTCCTTGGTTTTCAGGAAAATTCAAAACAATAGAAAAGGCAAATCAGACATTTTAGTGCTTTTGTTTAGGTGTTGGTTTGATTGTATCCCACGTTTATCATTTTTGAAAATAAGGTGGCAAACATATCCAATATACTTTCCTCCTCCTCCTCCTTCCTTCCCCAGAACAACCCTGTGTGGTGGGTTGGGCCAAGAGACAGTGACTGGCCCAAAGTCACCCAGGTACCCTTCATAGCCAAGCAGGGCTAGAATTAATGATCTTCTGGTTTCTAACCTGGTGTCTTAATCACTAAGCTCTTGGAGAGTTGGAGGAAACATTATCTGAGTGAAACAAGGATGCCTTAGTGCATGGGTGTAAAACTCGTTGCCATCATGTGACTTTTGTGACATTTTTCCCCTTCGCAGAGCTGAGGTGGGTGCGGCCTGCATGCGACACATCCAGCAATTTGACACCCCTGCTTTAGTGGAATATGCTTTGCTGAGCTGGGGCTTGCAGGAGTTTGATGACCCTTAGTTGGCCATCCAAAAAGGGGGCTCTAGGGAATAGCCATAGCAATAGCAATAAGCACTTAGACTTATATACCGCTTCACAGTGCTTTTACAGCCCTCTCTAAGCGGTTTACAGAGTCAGCCTATTGCCCCCAACAATCTGGGTCCTCATTTTACTGACCTTGGAAGCATGGAAGGATGGGTCAACCTTGAGCCTGGCGAGATTTGATCTGTCAAATTGTTGGCAGCTGGCAAACAGCAGAAGTAGCCTGCGGTACTGCACTCTAACCAGTGCGCCACCCCAGCTCAGAATCCTGGAAAAGCCTAAGCACTGTTATTTCCCTGAAGTGCTCATCCATGTTCCCAGTAGTCCAAGCATTAGCAAGTCTGCTTTGATGCTATCTGTCCCACTATTCTTGGAACCATCTTGTTCAGAACACAATCTAATGTCATCCTGCATAATTATTATTATCCTGGATATATTTGGTCTGAGGAAAAAAATGTCCCAAGAGTCTTATATTTCATACCTGTTTGGCTCTACTGGTTGAAAACTTTTTTTTATGCCTTCTAGAAATATTATGCACAATGATCTTCTATTAATGGTTTGGAATAAGCAAATCTGCAAATCATTTCACAAGCTGCTTTACAGCAATTCTTCCAAGGAAAATGTCGCCGGTGAAGCCTCCCAACAGGTGAGCTAAGATATCAAGCCATTACTTTGCAGCTTTCAAGAACTGCATCCAAAATTACCTTGTTGAAAGGCTGCACAGACCTGCTGCAGAGCGATTGTTTATTTGTTTATTAAATTTACATACCTCTCATCTCACTATCCAAAGTGACGCTAGGTGGCTTACAGTGCCATGAAAGCATACAGATACATATATTTATTTATAAATATATAATTCTCAGCAAGGTTAGAAAACTGCATCTGATCTAATGAAAGGTTAGGGATTATAACATGCAAAGCAACTCAGAAAGGAATGGCAGCCCCAAGAAAACTCATAATGCACCCAAGAGTAGGAAGCATCTTCATTCATTGGCCATAAAGCAAAAATGGGATGAAGAATTCATTTGTAAAAGGCATGGGAAATTTATGGTTCTCCACCAATCAGGACGATCCAGGTTCCTCAATCTTGGGTTATGAGCTGATCACAACAGAAAATATGCGGAGCACACTATGATTAATTAAACATTTCTCACAATGAGACCATTAAGAGCCAAAAAAGCTGGAAAGTGTCTTCATGACAGCATAAATTTGTATTATCAATCAAAATTACATACCTTATTTCCCAGAAGCATGATAACCACATCCTTTTGGGCATAGTCATGGATTTCTGTGAGCCAAGCCTGCAAGGGAATGTTGAATGTAATGAGACAAAACATAGGTGAGAAGAAACACCAAACATCAAGGCTTGACCGACTTCACTCATCCTGTCCTGTCATCTTGCTGCTGGTTTGCCTTTTGCATACAGCAATCAGTTCTTAGTCTCACACGGTTTGGGGTACTGTCCCTTTTGGCAGTTGAGCCAGTTTTGCATGAGATGTGCTGGGGCGTGGGGGCAGTTTCCCATTGGAAGGAACTTTAAAATTACACCCATTTCCCAGACTTCCCATGACCCCCACAGAGTTTAAGGCACCAGTGTTCCCTGCTGGCCTTACAGCTGCCTATCTGGCCAAGGAGGCAGACATTTCACAGATCTCTCTCCCCCCCCCCCCAGTAACTAGTCCCATTTTCCAAAATATCATTCAGTCTAAAGTAGGACAAGGATCAGGAACAGAGTCCTATCTGGGCACCCATTTTTATTTTTATTATTTTGTAATCTCCTTAGCAGTCAGCTCTTGACAGCTCAGCATTTTGTCCATGCTGGCTATTAGAATTGCAAAGTATTTCAAAAATTTATTCCGAAGGTTTGGAGCAGGAATGTGGCAGTTACATGGAAGTGCCCATATTCCTGACAACCAATTGCAAATAATATGAAATACATATGGATTTCTCTTTTTGTTTTTAGTCTGATTCTCCCTTTTCTTCTTCATCTGTCCTCTACAAATTGTAGTCTGCTAGTTCTTTGGGGCAGGAATGTTTTCTCTTTGTGAAGTATGAAGCACCGAGATATAGCACATATTCTTACCCAAATAAAGTTTATATCAGTACTGCAAAAAGGTAAACCTTTCCCCTGTTCAGTTGTATATGACTCCAGGGGGTGGTGCTCATCTCCTTTTCTTAGCTAAGGAAGCAAGTATTGTCTGAAGACATTTCCATGGCCAGCATAACTATATGCTGAGGCACACACAACACTGTTAACTTCCCATTAAAGTGATACCTATTTATCTAGTCCCATTTGCATGCTTTTGAACTGCTAGCTTGGCAGGAGCTGGAGCAAGTAATGGGAGCTCATTCCATTGCACAAGTCTCAGATCTCAAACCTGGGCTGTCAGCTTTTCATCTCTGTGTTTAGCCCAGTGTGTTTAACCACCGAGCCATTATGCCTCCTATCAGCACTGAGTTATTGAAAATATTTTATTCCCATCTTTTAAAATTCTTGGCTTTTCAAGGGCAGGTGATCCTTTTTGTCTCTTTGCTGATTCCTGTACAACCCAGTGCATTTAGAAACCGAGACACAAGAACACCTAAAACCAGGATATGTTTACTAATCAGATTACAACTTTAGCTTGCTATTTGACTCCTGTGTGAGCAAAGGCTGGTAGACCATCTTGATTCAACAGTAGGCATGAAATACTCACCCGAATACTGTCAAAGGAGACTTTGCTGGTGATATCATAAAGGAGGAGGAGAGCTGGAAAAGAAAGAGAAATATGTGCTATTTGATGATTTTGTAATTTTCTAAAATTATCAAGCTACCGAGAACACATGTGACCACGCAGATCAATTCAAACTATGAATCCCTCTATCCTGAACTTCGATTATGTAAATCTGTTGGCAATCTCAATCCACAGGCACATTCCCACCCTTGTTCAACATAATATGTTTGATGAAAAACTGTGGCGATTAAATCTAATGTTGTCCATACACAAGCCATAGCTATACCAGCCATTTCAACATAGTGCCTATGAGATGCATCAGATTTCAATTCTCTTGCATTTCAGGAAAGATACAAAGGAGAAGGGAAAGAGATGAGTGATGTCATAAATATAGTTGGATGGAGAAAAAATAGAAAACCCCTTTTGTTTTGAGCTTGATACAAAATAATCCCCTTAAAACATTCCATGCACATATTCAGAGTAGGTTTGTTCTCGCTCTTAACAAACCTTACGTCACACACACATTTCGTTTTAAGCTTGGAACGCTCCCAAAAGCTATTTCAAACTCAAAATATTGCACACTGCTGATATATTGAATACTACAGATTGTTCTATATATTTTATATATAGAACAATATATCAAACAGTGGCATTATCACTTGGTGTTAGATCTGAGCAATGAAAGAGCTACTCCACTTATCACCCCATCAACTCTGATTCAATCTGAGATGAAGGAAGGCAGCATTGTAGAGGACCAACCTTGTGCATCACGGTAGTATGCGTGTGTTACACTCCGGAACCTTTCCTGACCAGCTGTGTCCCAAATCTGCAATAAGGCAAAGACAGAAAATCAAGGAAACATTCTTCATTGTATTCCATTAGAGAAGCCCAGATGTGAAACAAATATTAGTGCAACCAAAATTCACAGACAGTACATGCCAAATGATATTCTTGAATAGTTCTCTGAATTAGGTCTATTAGAATCAAGATAGTTGTTTTTTTCTTCCAAATAAGAGAATACAAATGAACTATGTGATAGCATTACAGAATTCAATTCAGCATATGGAAGTGATAATGCAAATGTAAAAGACTTAAATACAACTATCTCATGAATCCAGCAGGATTTTTTTTTTTTTTGGGGGGGGGGGGGAATCCAGAAATTTGCAAATAAATAACTCTCACATTTTCAGGCACACACTATCACCAGTGCCAATATATGAAATGGTTCATATACAGTATAACTAGGGCTATGCAATGAATTCAATTTAATTTAGAAAAAATATTTCAGAACTTACAGATCTGCAATCATAGCCCCTGTTTCACAGAGAAAGACAAAACGCTGGTCACCATCAGGGCTATATAAGGAGTGACCCATCTATAATAATTTCTGCCTGCTCTGTATAACTCTGCCTTGAACTGTGAAATGGGTGGCAGAGAGTAGATGTGTGTGTGTGTGTGTGTGTGTACATATGTATGTATGTATGTGTGTGTGTATGTATGTATGTATGTATGTGTGTGTGTGTGTGTGTGTGTGTGTCACAACCCCTGGTATGCCCCAATTATGGGAGGAAGCTAACTGCTTCCATTCTCTGTCCATCGGCTCATCACGACAGAAACCCTAGATAGATAGATGATAGATAGATAGATAGATAGATAGATAGATAGAGATAGATAGATAGATAGATAGATAGATATTTCATATATGTTGTATTTGTGCTAATAAATAAATAAAGGGAGACTAGTATAGGTGTATTTCAAGCTATTTAGCTCTCATCAGCTAACCATACCCTTACTGGGACTCGAACCTGAGCTGTATTACATATTAGGCAGATGTGTTAACCACTAAGCCACAAGGTTCTAAATAGCTTGAAATAGATCTTGAAATAGCTTGAAATATATTTGGGCATACCAGGGGGTTATATACATACATACATACATACATACATACATACATACATACATACATACATAGAAAGAAAGAAAGAAAGAAAGAAAGAAAGAAAGAAAGAAAATGTTTTGTTCCAAAATATACAATGCATTGTTCTTATTTTTATTTCTATTTGTTTTTAATGATGTACGTTGCCCCAGAATCCTCTGGCATTGGGCAATCCTATAATGCTAAAAATACTTAAATAAATCTCATGAATAATAGGTTGGTTATCTGATCAAAGAAAGATAAACATCAACTGAATGAGGAAGAGACTGCACATGAGGTAAAACAAAATCATATATATTACCTTTGTAAAAATACAATCATGTGTAGAGAAATTTGCACACAATTTGAGGACATCTATAAGCTGGTAGCAAACCTTTTTTTTCCTCCCCCCCACCCAAAAAAAGGTGCTGAGTGAACAGCTACCAACTAATTTCAAGGACTCTTGGATGACACAGATTTTCTGTTCCCAATTTAATTTGGATTCAGGGCTGATTTTGCCACATGGGATTAGCAAGGAGCCGATACAGAGAATGCTTTGTTGGAAAGCAGGATTTCATTGGAAGTCAGCCACATCTATGGCTTATACTTCCACATGCCAAGCGGAAATGTAATAGCTGAAGCCTTGAATGGAGAAAAACGGCTTGTCTCACAGTAACTGAATATATAGGAGGCCTTTTTCAGACTAGAAAAAATGGAACAAGGGTACTTAGAAAATGCAATTTTGATGTATCAATCAGACCTACCTGCAGTTTCACTTTTACATCATCCACTGTTACCACTTTATTCTGTAAGAAACAAAAAGACCCCACATTTATAAAAACAGCAAATTGACAAGAACTCTATATTCAGTTTTGAGTTTTTAAGATCACCTGTGAGAAAACAAACAGCTAAGTTCCTTTCTCATGATTTTCTATAACTTCCAATTTAAAGTTCCATGCAACAATCACTAAATAGCTAGAAGGTAACAAGTTTCATGCATGTCACAAATGTGTTTTTTTTTCAAAGAGGCAACTGGACTTTCTGGTTTTTCTTTGAAGATGTTTCTTGGATGAGAAGCGAAATGTCTTCAAGGAAAAACCAGAAACTCCTGTTACCTCTTGGGAGGAAAAAAAAGCACCTTTGGGACAATCATGACCTGGATGACTAAGAATCTCCATAGACATTAAGCTTCATGCATATTGCTGGCACAATTGGTCCACTGAGATTTTAGGTAAGACTGTAAGCAGCAGATATGAACAAATATTATATATTTAGTTGTCGCTCTTTGCCCAAAATTTGGGGATCAAACGTATCATATTTACTGGGATTGCATGCAAAGCAACCCTATCAGCTAAGACAATGCTTTTTCTTCATTTTTTTTATTTTTTGCACATCAGTGTGTGAATAGTGTGGTACCTGAGTATCATACATTTCATACAAAAATAATTAGTATTATTCATATTTGTATCATTTAACAATCTTATATAATACTAGTAATAATATACATCTTTATATTAAATTTTTATCTTTCATTGTTTAATTATTCAATATTACCGATCTCAATTATCATATCTTTTGATGTGAATAAAATATTATGCTGGAACACACACACACACACACACACACAGCCATTTAGATAGATGGATGGATGGATGGATGGATGGATGGATGGATGGATGGATGGATGGATGGGCGGGCGGGCGGGCGGGCAGACATTAGAAAGACCTATAGGCTAAATTGTGAAGTGGGAAAAAACCCCTAGGAGAAGGCAGAGGAAAAACACTTCTGTACTTTCCTAAGAAAATTTCATGAATGTATCCAATGAAGTCATCGGAAGTCCAGCTCAACTTGTGGGAGGCTTTAGTTTTTCAACATGAAAAAAGGGAACACTATATTGTGTATCTCCTTGGGAAACAGGAGGAAGAGCCACAGTTCAGACAATAGTCATGCAAAAGATATCTCAACGCACAAAAGGAGCGGGGGCATGGGAACTATATCAGAAGGGACTCTTCCTAGTTTTGGGGAAAATAAAAGTAAAGGAGGGCAGAAATTTTTCAAATTTGCAAGATTCTGTTACCTTACAATAAAGTTAGTGTTACTACTCATGGTTTGTGCTTCTGTCTGGACAAGCTCAAAGGGCTATCACACAGCTCACTATAATGCACATAGAATATAGCTACCTAATATAATTTAGGGAGGAAAGAAAAATAATGCGTTCTATATGAATTTGACATGATATGGAAAAGCTTGATTTGGTTCAGCGCAACCAGAACCAAAACATTATTTTGGAGCACAAAGGTTAGCCTTAGAGGCACCTCCACAAATTATTTATTGCTTTATTTTAAAATGCCCAGTGCCTAATATTACAAATTATTACAATATTCTTCTTAACTTATTATGAAACATCTCCTAGGACCAGTTACTCTTTCCCAATAGTCTTTTCCAGATGAATTGGAGCTATCATTGGCCATATGAACTAGGAATTCCAGAACTTATCCATTTGGAGGAAGTCAGTTTAACCTAGATTGTCCGCACACTTAATATCATGACCAAATAGGTTGTTTTGATTAATCTCAGAAAATTAGGCATGAGAGAGACAGTACATACTACACATTATCTAGTTGTAACATATACTTTAGTACACATTTTTTCTCTTTAATTCATCAAATAAAATTTTTACTTATCTATGTACAGTACATATCTGACATTCCATTGTGAGTTTATCTCATGTTTCCTACATATTGAAATAATTTTAATTGATTCACATAACAGATATGCATACTAATCCTTGGAAAAAGATATCCAAGTTATGCATATAGTATATTTTAGAGATCTTTTAAAACCCAACAATTAACCAGATAGTCACCATTCTGTCTGTTACTATTCTGAACCAAGAACTTTGACCAAAACATTCCAGTGTTGAGCTATCATTAGTTTAGTTGCCAAAAGGAAGAAGGCAATTAATGTTTGGTTCATATTTTTTTAATCCTAACCATCAAAGATAATATAATAAATGCATTTAAAGTGTTTTCAATCCCCTTTTTTAGTTATAAAGTTTATTTAGTCAAAAGCATTCTTCCAGAATTTAAAAGCTTCATCATACAATTACTAGAGGTGAAGACAAGATCCAATCTGGGTCGGTCACTGGGACCAAAGATTTAATCTTCTAAGCTTTCAGACACCTGCTGGAGCCCATCCTCAGGAAACTTCTCTCTAGCATTTTACAAGATTAGCCTGCTGGAAGTGCTGACCTTAAACAAAAAGGAATTCTCTGGAGGGTCCTTACATTGTACACTAAAAAAGGTAAAGGTTCTCCTTGCACATATGTGCTAGTCGTTCCCAACTCTAGGGGGCGGAGCTCATCTCCGTTTCAAAACTGAAGAGCCAGCACTGTCCGGAGATGTCTCCTTGGTCATGTGGCCAGGATCACTAAACGCCAAAGGCGCATGGAACACTGTTACATTCCCACCAAAGGTGGTTCCTATTTTTCTACTTGCATTTTTACATGCTTTCCAACTGCTAGGTTGGCAGAAGCTGGGACAAGTAACAGGAGCTTATTTCATTATGCGGCACTAAGGATTCGAACTGCCGACCTTTCTGATCTACAAGTTCAGCATCTTAGCTACTGAGCCACCCCATTCTCTCACATTGTAACTAGAGCTTGTTAATAAATCCTGTTCATTTACACAAGCTTTTAAAAGGCTGGGAAATGAGTTCTTCTGAAGCTTTGAACTGCTGAGCTGAGACAGCACAGGAACAATTTTTAATAAAAGCTTTACATATGAATAGATTCTCAAAAGTGAATGGAAGCTGGTGTAAGAAGGCATGAAAAGAGTACAATTTTGGATTTTTAAAAACCCAACAAGAACAATTTGCTAGAACTATCCCGCAACAGGCGTGTTCTACTAATTAACTCAATAATGGGAGAAACATCTGAAAAATAGCTTACATACTCATAAATTGAAGTTAATAACAAATCAGCAACATAAAAAAATTAGCAAATGCATTTTTTAGCCCTCCATAAGTTTATTGACTATGGATCTGAATAAAGATATTGAAAAAGCTATTTAAGATCCTGCAGCATTGACTTCCATCCAATAGTGCCAACAAAATGTTGTTTTCAATGTATAATTTATGAATGAAATAGCATCTCTTGAACTCTAGTGTATACAACATGCTTGACACATATTATATTGTATTGATCATATTATTTATGTGATGATATGATGTCATTGTTTTTTTCTTTTTTTCTTCCTGGATATTTGGGCATAACAACATAGGGATTCATGATGGTGGCAGAGCTTTTCAATGGGATCAGGAACCAACCTAATTTCTTGTATGTGTTGCATCCCTTTGCTGTCTCTTGTTCCTGATCACACATACCTCTAGTCACAAATTCCGACAGCTCCATGTTAATATAATTGGATATTATACAGTGTTAAATGTCTACAAGCAATTCCCATGCTTGATTAATCTGCATAGAGCAGATTGGGACTGCAGTTTGTGGGGGAGAGAAGGCTTTCACTGCTTTTCCCAAACTCTCATCCAAGGGAGAACCATTCCATCCCAAAACCACAGAGGTTCTATGAGAGAAGATGACAGAAACTTTCCGTCTAGGACTACCAGCTGCTCTGAAAATGTGTGTTGGTGTGTGTGTGTAAATGAATGAGGAAGAGAGGATAGAATAATGGAATCACAGGGCAGGAAAAGACCATAAAGGTGTTGTATTCCAACTGTTCCTCAAGGCAGGTGCTTTTACACCAGTGGTCCCCAATCTTTCGGGCTTTGCGGACTGGTGGTGGTTGGTGGGGAGAGGGGATTTTTCTGTGTGAGTGACAGGTGAGTGTGTGCATGCAGCTCCATTTGCACAAGTGGCAGGCATATCCACCTGCCAGTCGCTCAAATCAGAGGTGAGTTACTCCCTGATTGGCGCGGATCGGGTGAACCAGGAATGGCAGCGGTGGGAAGCTCCACCCACCTGCCCGGATGCTTCTGCACGTGCAGAACCAGTAGCGCAAGGATTTGCAACCCACCTCTGGCTGAAATGGAGCTTCATACACGCGTTCGCTCATGGGTCACACAAGTGGGGCTACACATGGATGCTTCCACGGCTTGGTTCCAAATAGGCCATAGCCTGGTACTGGGCCACGGCCCAGGGGTTGGGGGCCCCTGGCTTACACCATCCCAGACAAATGGTTGTCCAATCATTTCTTGAAACCTCCAGCGATGGAACATAAACAACTCTGAGAGGCAAGCTGTTCCATTAATAGATTGCACGAAAGACCATTTGGGTTTTGTTTTGTTTTTACTACAACCACAGCAGAGAGGAATAGGATGAAGCCCCTGGGTCTCCACATACTGGACTCCTGATCCAGCTACTGAGAGACCAAAACCAAGCATGACAAATGATGGCATCCATGTAATGTTCTTCAGCCTTCGTTGTGCTTGGCTCAAAGGTCTACTACAGGATGCCCAACACACATCTCTGCTGTGGCAAACTATCTCCAGCATTAATTGTGGCCTCACCCGGAAGTCTATCCCGACAGTAGCTATGAAGGTCCCAGAGAGGAAGGCTCCATCTTTGAACTGGACGAGGAAGCAGGTCTTCCCCACACCTGAATCTCCAAGCAGCATCACCTACGAGATGAGGTGCAAAAGCCCATTAATATGGCTGGTTGGGGTTATATTGACATTCATGTTTTCCCCCTTATGCTTCCTTATTAAAGAAGTCTCTCTCTCTCTTCTGTCAACAGTGATCTAATTTAGCAAGCGGAACGAGCAATCAACAAAGAGAAGAACAAACAAATGGCCATATCTCATCTTCATCTTACTTTAGCCATTGTGATTGGGAGTCATTCATTGTTTGCTCTACTCTAGCTGTCTTATTCTATCAATGCTGGTGGTAACTCAATGTGGAGAACTTAACAGAAAATCAGGAATCTGGTAGCACTTTTTCCAATTAATAAATATGATTTAAAACTCCCTGATTTTTTGCCACTATATAACAGTGTTTCTCAACTGCGACAACTTTAAGATGTGTAGACTTCTTATACTGGCTGGGAAATTTGGGAATTGAAGCCCCCAATTTGCCAAGGTAGGGAAATACTGCCACAGACTTAACAAGGCTTATTTAAAACAAACAAACCAGTCTATATCTCCTATAAGCACAGCTCCTCTCTGCTACTAATCAAAGTGCCCCAACTTTTTTCAGGGTTCTGTGTGAGCTTGAAAGAAAAGATGCCACATCTTTAAGAAGCCAACTTCTTAATGCAAACCCATTGCATTAAGATTATTTTGTTCAGGTATGCAGAAGACTGAAAAAGTTGGATTGTTGTGATGAATAGCAGAATAGTCTTGTACATGCATGAAGTTCAAAGCAATACTTGGGAAATGTGTATCCCTTTCTGTTTATCACCCTCTTTAGTGTTATTACAAGCTTACAAGGATAGTGTAGGACAAACTTATCCTGTGCTTCCAGATCTGTAATTTGCATCTCTGGTGCTCTCCTGAGGTCACAAAGGAATCAATTCCCTACCACTTGGGAATTGTAATTTAAATTAAACACATCTAAACAGCACCAAATTGGAAAGGGTGTTTTAAAATGTTTCCAAATAGTGGATACTTCGCTAGGTCTTTCAGAAAGCTTTAGCTGAAGGAAAACCATCCACGTCTCCTTTCTATTCCCACCTCAGTGGTCCTGACAAAATAAATCCCTATATTTTCATCTCTCTCTAGTCCATGCATATCTAGCAATGGTGGAAAGGCAACTCCAGAAATATAGTTGTTTGCTTGATGAGGAATGTTTGGCAAGTCTTCCTTCCTATTGTGCTTCCTCAAGAGATGTAGGTGAACATTTTTGAGGAACATCTATTCCACCATCCTGTTTCTTGGAAAGAATTTGAGCTTATTTGTGAGCTGGTCTTTCTCTGGAACAATGGAAGGTTATAAACTGTCCCTAACTTCTTGTTCTTATTTTCATCATTACTAAAAAGCACTCCTTCCTTGTCAATGTTTCCTCTCTTCTGCACAAAAGATAAGGAGATCAGCTTGTAACTACTCTAAGTACCAGCTGCTGTTTCCAATGAAAACAAACAGCCCATTTATATTTACACTTTGTGCCATATGGTCCAACTTCTGCCTTTGCTTAGCCTTCTAGCTAGGCTACTCTAGACAAATTACATCTCTGGAAGCACAGGAGCCGCATGCCTTGTTCAAGGACTTAAGTACCTCCCTTAAATGTCAGGGCAGCTGTCTAGGAGGTAGACAATGAGGGACAGTGTTTCTCAACCTTGGCAACTTTAAGATGTGTGGACTTTAACTCCTAGAATTCCCCCAGCCAGTTGAGAAGCACTGGGCTAGTATGACTGCTACTGAGTTACTGCTCCTCAGTTTAGGAATTATAACAATTACAATTCCTTATTTAGGATTATTTATTCCAGTTTAAGAGACTTTCTGTAGAGCCTATAACAACTTCTTGGCTCTGTTTATGGGAGTCTTGCCTTCTGCTGCCTCAGACCCTCTTCGGTTGTCAGTGCCAACATGGGAGTGCTAACTCAAGACAGTTAGAATATCATCCCATCTGTGCTCTTATCTGAGAATGAGTTTCCTCACTGAAACTACTTTCACAGAAACAGGCACGGGATCAGCACTGAAACATGTAGGGTGGAGGTCACCCAATGCTCTGGGAAGCCCTTGTGGGGTATGAGAAACCCCAGCTCAGAGGGGGCTGCACTCCTCACCTTTACCCTACCCAAGGAATAGTCCATCAGCTAATGTTACCTCCGCCTAATCCAAATATTTTACTAATCTTCCTACTAATCCCCAAAGTCACAGTTCACACCCAGCCTGTTTCTTCACCATCCCTGGAACCAGATTGGTCATTGATCTACGATGTTATATAGACAAAGGGTGGAGAAAGAAGGAACTGTTTGTTGCTAATGCACTTGATTAAATCTGAAGTATGTTTCTAACAAGCAGTTCCTGCTTCCACGGGCTTCCATTTGTCTATTTCCTTTGACGTCATTGTGACCATAAAAACATACAGGCAGAGTCCATGGGTTAGATCCGGGATGGGGAACCTTGGCCCTTTTATGACTAGTGGACTTCAACTCCCAGAATTCCTGAACCAGCCTTGCTGGGCCAGGAATTCTGGGAGTTGAAGTCCACAAGTCATAAAAGGGCCAAGGTTCCCCATTCCTCAAGACCTGAGGAATTATAACCCATGCCAATTATAACCATTATAACCCATGCCAAGTATCAGGAGGAGATCCGTAAGCTCTGGGACGCTCTTCCTTTCTTGCCGCTGCCTCACCCCTGTTGCAAGTCAGCAAAGCAAACAGGCAAGCCAGCATCCACTCCTTCTAAGCAAACAGAGTTTCAGTTTAAAAGCCCCAGCTTGGTTGGCATTTTTGGATTTCCCTATTTACCTCAGGGAAGAAAAAAGAATAACTGAGGCTATTCTAATTACTTAGAAAGAAATCGCCACATGGCATCTTAAAGGTTGATTGTGGTGTAGGTTTTTGTGGCCATTTTCCTTTAAGGTGTTCTGCTCCACAAAAGGGACAGCACATACACACTCTCTCTCACACCTTTCTGGAATTTATCCCTGTGAGAAATGTGGATTAGCCAGCATTTGTCCTCCTACAAAATACTGAGCCCACACAGCTGAGAGATAACAGCAATCATTAGGGGGAAAATCCATCAACAGCCCTGGCAGAACAACAAACACTGGACTCCTAGCAGTCCAGACTTTAAAAATAGTTCTTAAAGGAAAAGGAAACAAACTAAGGAAAGAAGGCAAATATGGTTCCACCACAAAACCGCAGTAGACAAAAGCGCGCTCGACGAAAGCGCGTACGTGACGTCATCACAGCGCGACGAAAACATCGCGCTGTGATCG